AAAAAAAATGACCAAAATTTTACTGCCCCATTTAGACGATTACTATTTTTAAATTGATTAAATAAATGACTGAGTTTATGAAATAAGTTCAATATTCCTGCTTAGATGTGCACTGACCTCTCAAATTTAATCTAAGTTGAGCCTTTTGAACGTCTGCTTTTTGAGAAACTGCCCTGTTGTTTCAATTATAGACATGTGCATTAAAATAGGGAGACACATCATGGGGCTGAAGAGGAAGACTTTAGGAGTTTAGGGGAGGAAAGAAAGAACTGAGCCAGGGACAGGCAGCATGTGTCCTTACCCCCCCTTCATTCACATTTCACAATAAAAATAAAGGTAAAGGTGCACTTCAGTAATCCCCGTAGGGCAATTCTTCCCTCCATCCTGATGCCGCTAAGGCTTACATCAGGAGCAGTGGTCGCCATAGTACAGGACCAGAGCTGCAGGATTTACCTAGTGTGCATGTTTTTAGTGGTAGGGGAAACTGGAGCTCCCAGAGGAAACCTACGTAGGCATGGGGAGAACACTCAGAAAGACCCTGTTCCGACCAGGATTCGAACCCAGGGCGAGAGTGCTATCCACTCAGCCATCATGCCACCCCGCGGTTTGACTTAATATGCACAATTTAGTGTAATAAGTTAATTGATTGCTCGTGCCTTTGTGCATTATATATTGAATTTCAATGAAAAAACAGCAATCAAATAAAAAACTATAAAAAAATAAACATATTGTTATATTTTGTCCACAGATTAACTGGAATATTCCAGGAAACACCAGGAATAAGATCTAAATGGAATTAAGCAGTGGACTGTGTGAGATACTGTAGCTGTGCTCATCAGTCACCACAATGTTTACACGTGTCACAAAACAACCTTGTACTTTAACAACTATGCTCTATCTGACACCAGCAGACCTATTTATCTTCATGTTCACATGCTTTCGTTCACAGAAGGGCCCTCTTCTATATAAGCCTTTCTCACGAGGTCCCGGCCCACTGGTGGATTTCGGGAGTGAATCCAATGGGTTGCAACAAAGCTCTTTACTTCAAATCAAGACTGCCCTGGAAAACTTGCCACCGCTTATTATACAAACGTGCTTCAGGATTCAGTTGAAAACTAGATGGAACCAGGACTAAACCAGGTCTGGACCAGAACTGAAAGAAGGCTGGGCTTTAGCCTGATTAAGATAAACAAGCACTATGTCGTTTCTTCTAACAAAAAATATATTATTACAAATTAATGGGCATCCACAAAAGGGGCAATACATTTTATTTTATTTTTAAACATTCTTTTTAGTTTTCAGGATGGGACAGTGTTGTAAATACACCAGCTTGAAGCTATGATTTAATTTCCAACTGTGGTCACACAGACAAACACGCGCTCATTCAATCCTCACCTATTGTACATGTTTTTAGTGAAACCAGAGCACCCAAAAGGAAACCCACGCAGGCACGGGGAGAACATGCAAACTCCACACAGAAAGACCTTGAGTTAGAATCGACCCCAGGACCTTCTTGCTGGGAGGCACAGTTTCTAACCACTGCACCAAAGTGTGGGCATAATCATAATATTTGATTTCGGTGTATATTTCTTCAAAAATACAACATACATTCTAAAACAGAATAGAACACTGTCGGGTAAGTAAAGGATCTCTTAATAATCACACAATTGCAACATTTTAAAATAGCTAATATCTTGTTCGGTTCTGTCTATATTTGGTTTTTGGTGGGTGGGACCCAAGGAGGTATGATCTTTTTAATGAATGACAGTAACAAGAATAGAATAGTTTATTTGTTATATGTTTTATTTAACTGCTTATGTATATTATTATTTTATTTGTATGTATATGACACTAACAATATAATGTATAATTGTCGACGTATCCACATTTACTGTACATAATGATACAGTTAAAAATAACTCCTCCATTTTGCATGGTTGGTTTGTTGTTGTGTTTTTGACTTGTGTTTTTGATTAATCTCAATTGGGAAATGCTGAAAATTTTTGTTCATTTCTATATAATTTTATATGACTAGAGTGCAATAACGGAAAATGAATGCACCAAAAATTCTAATAAATGACATAAGACAATTTACAGTAAAACATGCTCTACTCATTGAGTCATGGTGGCTCTAAATTCAATTCTGAGTCGCAGAGAGCAGTGCAGATGCAGAGGTTGAAGGGCAGTGTGACTTTGAGAGTTAATTAAAAAAATCATGGCACATTCCGGGGCCTCCTCTGAGAAAGTCCTTGCTGCATATTCATCAGTTTATTGCCATTTTTGTGAAACACTCGGCTGCTAATTTTGCGTTTCTCAAAATGATTTGCTTGTACCATTGTTGCATTGTTGTTTTCTTAATTTATATTTGTTTGACCTCCTTTATTATTACTCTTAATTCGATTTTTGGTAATTATTCATACACACACACGCACCCACGCACACACGCACAAACACACACACACAGTGATAATACCACAAAACAGTTGGTTTTGTGGTATTTTATCCCTACAAAAGCATACACATCAGCTCATGAGCATGTTATGTACAGTATACTGTATGTACCTATGGGGAGGAGACCCAGCTGTATTGGTGTTTTTGAGCAATAAGAATGCCCATAATAATGAAATGCTCATTTAAATAGAAAACCGAGTAGGAAGACAGTGTTGAAGTTGAGTAGACGTTTTAAAGAATGCTGTGGTTGTACAAAGATTCATGCTTTGGACATCTCTGAGAGAACTTTTCAAGCTCTCATCTGGGAATGGAAAGCAAATGGCACAACTGCAAATCTACCAGGGTACAGCTGTTTGCCCAAACTAACTGGTCGAACTAGGATAGCCCTGATATAGACAAGAGCCCCATGGGAACTCTGGAGAAGCTGCAGAAATCAACAGTTTAGGTGGGAGAATCTGTACTTCTCCCACCTAAACTATTAGATATGCATCTCACAAATCTGGCCTTTATGGATAAGAGGGAAATTAAAAGCCAATGTTGCAATAAATCTTCAAGAAGCCATGTGTCGGACGATCCTATATGTGGAAGAAGGTGCTGTGCAAAATTTGGTTTCTAAAACGTTATGTGGCTCAAAACTAACACGGCCATTCCCACTGTCAAACCCGGTGGTGGTAGCATCATGCTGTGGCTCTCCTTTTCTTGAGAAGGGTCAGGGAAGAGTGTCAGAGTTGATGGGAAGGCAAAGGAAGCCAAAGAAATACATGATTATAAAAACTAGTGATAGAACCAAACTTTATGGTTTATGAGTCCCCTCAAAAACGAGATGGCACATCTCAAGGGGCATTCCATCAATATACTAAACTAAACTGTTTTGAGAGTAGGGAACTAGTGTGTATTTTTGTGATCATGACAAGACGTCATGTGGAAGAAAAGTTCATGTACTGTATCTCGCGGATGCCCTTCAAGTGTGCACCTTTTCATGTGGAAAAAAAAGTACTAGTTTGAGTCTGCAAAGAGGCCCATAAGACAATACACCCCTGTCCCAACTACACCACATAAGTTAATGATACAATCTGACCCATTCATTGACAGATAGATCATAAGATTACTCCCTCCATCTCTCTCCCCCAATAACCTCCTCTCCTCACCCCTGACACGCACCCACATTCCACAGGCAATGTAGCTGTGTGCATTCACTAATTAACCGGCACAATAACAATTCCACGGCTGGTCCAAACGCGGCTCAAGCTGTCAACTTCTAATTAAGGCTTGTTGTAGCTGCAGCAGAACACAAAGCTCCCATGTATTATGTATGAGATACACTTCAAAGTTTAGGCCGTGGTCTAGACCGGTGCAAACTGCATGTGCGTCTATAAAAACGGGTATCAGAAACAATATTAATTTAATATAAATTAAAATATTTTATTTTGGTAAAGCTCATTGACCAAACTATATACATAGAATACGATTACACAACACTTACTTGTCTTCACATTTACAAGGATGTCTGCGGCACAATAATAGCAACAAAACAATATTCAATATATCTGTTTCTGCTACTGAGAGCTTAATGTTTGCAGGGTCACATAATTATATAGATAACAGCCGAAATACAAAAATGTAATCCTTTGAAACTATATTGATTACAAAAACAGTATAGGTACAGTATTTAGTATCTCTGTAAAGGTGATACAACTGCAAACGTCCTGATAGAAGGTATCTGCTAATTGCAAATTTACATTACACTTTTCTACCTTTCAAGGCACTCAAAGTCCTCAAAGAAAACATTCACTCATGCATGCACACATTCACACACCACTGAACCAAGACATTAGGTGCAAGGACATTCACCAATGAGAGCTAGTTTCACACCTGCCATCCTGTGGATCTGTAGATCTGAACTACCAACCAATGACATTTATGTCAAAAATAAGATTGAAACTGCCAACCTTTGGCTCAGAGAAAACATGCTCGACCAACTATTGACTAGCCAGTTTCCTTGACTCCTGCTCCTTGTCTCCATGAAGTTCAGAGTATGTATCAGTTTTACATTCCTAAAATAACAGGCATTTTATTGGAAAATGGGCATTCTTAGTGAATCTGGTTCACTTTTCTACAAACCTGACCCTGGCCCAGCGGTGAAAACTGCTTGTCTTTACAATCTGTGAATTGATAGCAAATGCACTGGTCAATATAGGTATGCACCCAGGTATGCAATTTCCAAGTCTGTGACCTCCCGTTACTTACGTTGGCAATAAAAATGATTCTGATTCTGATAATCTCACACCATCAGAAACAACATAATAGAATGTACTTTACTGTACTTTGCATTTAATTCTTGGCAAAGTGGTTGTGTTATGAGCCTCTACCATAAACACTATCCTTATCTGCACTTCTTAACATCTATTTCTTCTCAACATCATTCAAAGTCTAAAGGTGTCTTCCCCAAAGACACATGGACAGTACTGTAGACAGTTTGAAGACAACTACTTCCATCTGAATATCAATCATTCTGAACTTTGTTTGATGTAAATACAATTCTAACTTACCAAAAACTGATCAATGTTCAGAACCGTTTCAGACGTGTTGATCCGCTCCATCATATTTCCTCCTATCGTCTGTTCCAGCGTCTAAACTTATAATAGTCCTGCCTAATGTTCTGTAATAGCATTCTTATCTGTCCCCTGTGTCCTTCGTTCCATACCTGCTCCTTGCCTCCATCAGAGCACTGCTGTAGGGGCCACACTCGCACGCCCCACCAGGCCTTAATACAGACACGTGGAGCTTGACAATAAAGTGTCAGCAGCTCTTAATTCAGAGAGCCGGATCGTCCAATGCAGTGGATTCCAGCTCATGATAGCATAAATGATAGCATGTGGTTTACCCAGGATACACTATGGAAATAATACCTGTTGACTGAAAGGACACCATAACCTTCCTAAGGCTGAATAGGGTGAGAGTGGTCCAGTGGTGCACAACAGAACCTTACTTGTGTTCCTTCATTCCAAGCTTGATTCTTTTCACGTAAACTCACAGCAATTGTAGTATATTTAACCTTTAAAGCTGCACTAACTGACTTTGGGATTTTGAAGCCGCGGACTCGCTGGCCTCTCTCTTTCTGCTCCCCTCCCCGCACCCACGAAGCTATCGCCCCCACACACACCCACTGTTGGGACGAAGCTAGCGTCTCTCAATATGGATAATACATGGATATGGATTTGCACGTGGATGGCGTGACCATAAAACGATAGAACCGGGAAGCGCGGAGGAACGAGACTTTCTTTTGGATGGCTGTCTCGCTGTGTAAGCAGTAACCGGTGATGAAGACACGAAGCTTCAGGTTAGCTCCTCGGCTTGTTGTGCTAACTCAGCCGTCTATGCTAACGGACCTGTAGATTTCTCACGAAAGTGGGGGCCAGTGGTCCGCTGTGATTGGTCACAATCTGCGACCCGAAACACATTCTCTTCCTTGTTTCATCAAAACTCGATCTAAAATATAATGTCACGCCAGCACAAATCTGCGCTACTTTTTCGTCAAAAGGACGTATATCCCAATGCCCTACACGGACATGGATAGCATTTTCGTAATGAATACAAAAATAAAGTCAGTTAGTGCAGATATATTAAGCTGTTAAGATGCTAGCACAATTGATTTCTGTGCTGAACCTGAAAATGCTTTAAATGCCACTCTGCTGGACAAGAACAGATTTAGTTTTTCTTCTCAATGTTGGTCTATATTTGCTTTTCTCTTATTTATTGTTCGTCAAATAATCTATTTTCTAATTATTGCTAAAATGCAATGTGGAGAAAGAAATTAATAAATGAAAACTTACAATGCAATTGATTGCTCAGAAAACACATTTGCATGTAAAAAAAAAAAAGGACAGGTTTAATAAACGAAGCTTCAACCTGTTCCTTTTTATTTAATTATACTTATTTGTATAATCTCCTGCTTCTTTGTTCAAAATGTGATATATTCATAGCATACCGAGGCTACTGTTCGTGAATTTGCCTTCATCAATGTTGTACAGTTTTAGGAGTACATTGTGGGTAAGATGCAATTCACAAGCACTATTTCTAAGGGTAGAAAAATACCATAATTCTGTTTAGATCAATATCATGAAAAATGTGAGATACAATATGCACTTGTCCATTATAAGGCTCAAGACACACTTGCCCCTTTTTGCAGAGGAGGTTTCAAATGTATATAGGTTTGGTGTCACCACAAGATTGATAAGAGATCTATTAAATCTCTCCTCTTCCTCTCGTAACCTGCTCTAAACTCTCACCCCTCTCCTCTCAACCCCTTCTTGTGTGGATTATGCATGTTCTCACCACAACTGCGTAGGGTTGAAATATTTGGAGTATCTTCAAAGTTTGCAGTATGTATAAATGAACAGCTACTGTTGTAAATACACTGGAATGAGCTCAATTGTTGTTTTTATCCTTTGAGCAACGTTGAGCTAAACTGACAAAAACAAAACATAAGAATGATGAACTTTTAACCTTGTAGAGAACCCCGTATTGAAACATATTTGTAGATGTCTAGCCTAATAAACAAAACAAAATGAAAACAACCTTGAGCAGCCTTATACCCTTGAATGACCCCTTACTTGCAGCCTTTAACCTTATTCCCTCACTCTGTGCCCTAAAGTGTTCTCTGCTCTCGCCATGTGCCCCTTGTCCCCGTCCATCCAACCCCCACCGCCAGCGAAACCTAAACTCAGGGTAAATATAGCCCCAGTGTGACCCAACGTTCACTGACACACTTCTCCACACCTCGCACTGACTCCTCCGGCTGCCTCTCACTCTGAGGAGCAGAGGTAGTCCACCTTACCTCAAAAACCTGCTCTGAACAAACGTTAAACTGACATAATAGTCTAGAGGACTGGGTTATCGATACTTCATACATTTACAAATTTAGACATCAGCGTAGATATCAATGTAATAATACTGTTTAGGAGCTAGCACTAGTACCAGTAAGTATTATTATATAGCACCTTTCACAAACGGAGCCACAAAGCACTTTACAATTGTTTTTGGGGATTTTTCTCACTCCACACAGTGATGGATATGGTATGGTATCAAATAGGTGGTCACACAAAAGTGTGTCTGAGGCACATCCGGTTTCTGAGAAATCATTATTTATTGAGGGCCTCATTTTTGACTTATTCTTCATGAGATCAGTCTCGGGACCAATGAACACAATACGAATAAATAAACACTTAGGCGGTTGTTTTAAAAAATAAATTGAAAGTTTTGAAACAATATTTCTAGGAGCAATTCTCTGTGCAGGAAGAATCAAAGCTGTCACAATGATCACTGTTGCTAAAGGTTGTAAGCTGTAAATTAAAAGATTTTATTGAATTCTGACAGAAAACATAAAGACACAGTTTATGACCACTTTCAAAATGAATGACCCGGTTCACTGCGTTTACGTGCACGTCTTTGAATGTCCAAAAAAGCGCTATATAAAACCGATACATTATTATTATTAATTCAACTTGTATCATTTTATCTAAAATTGTGAAAATACATTTTGTATTGCAAAAAAATTGCTGCGCTCTGTGATAAGACATTTTTTTTATCTAAAAAAAGGACACAATCCATTCTGGATGGCAACTTCAATGAACATTAAAATATCCAACATTTTATTAATTCCAATGAGGATTTATTGTTTGTTCTATAATTTAAATAAATGTTTTGGATGTCAGAAATGTGCTAAAATGTTTCATCTCATGAATAGTGAATAGATGTCACAATTTAATCTTTTTTCATCAAAAAGTTTGATCATCTAAAATGTAAATACCTTTTCACAGTATTCACAGTTTTTTACATTGACGTTTTAAGTAACGAAGGAGACTTATTGACTCTTTCAAGGCGCTAACACAGAGCTTGGGCTGCTACTATTGATGTAACAACTAATAGTTTAATTACTACATGAGGGCCACACTGTAATTAGAAAGCGACATCAAGTGACTCCAATATCAGATGAAGTTTAATGGCTTAATCGTCTACGTCCCTGTCATTCCTGTCTGCAAACATTTGGCAGGTAAGTGCTCTCCCTTTTAGTCGCCTGTAACATTTGAAACTTATGAGATCTGTTTCACTGCTGTTGACATTCTTGCAGATCAAAAATCGTCTCCTTGCACAACTTTGCTGTTCTATCCATCACATATTTTGTAACATGTGGCCAGTACAAACAAACAAGTATCTAAACAAGGAGTGAAGTTGACTTAAGGGCCTCTTTAGCTAGATAACTTTAGATATACATTTTACTTTTCTGATGGAAATGCACTACCTATTCGTCCTGAGGAAGATTTGTTTTGCTTGGAGAGTTTCATGGTATGAAAAAAAAAAAAAAACCCTATTTAGCAATTATTGAATTTCAGCTGCAGCCACCGCACCGCACGCATCATTTGATGCAGAAAGACTAGCCCAGAGGCGTGCCTGGGGTGCGGTTGGAGATGCGTGGAGCATGCTCACCGCACACCGATATGCTGGGCAGAGACGCGCAGCGCCGCACACTCAGCCTAGTATAGGAGTCTTGCGTATTTTTGCACCGCAGTGATGTACCTTTAAGTCAAAATACATGGGAAATCCATCTGTGCTAGTGATCCTTGGCACTAGATAAGCTCCACACACCCACAATACTTAAACATAAAAAGGAGGGCTGGCAGACTTGACAGTGCTTCTGGATGCATATGTACAGTAGATGCGTGGCACATGCACATCCCACACTGACCCTCTCTCCAGAAGAGAGGCGCACATCTCTCACTGCGCTTGCGGTGTGGAGGGGCCATAACATTGCAGATTGTGTTACAAAGGGTCAATTTTAGGCCCTGTCCACACGAAGTCAAGCTCAGGCCTAAACGCAAAAATACTTTATCAATCCAGTGTATCGTCCATACGAGGCCGGCGTTTTGGGGGGGTGTAAACGAACATTTTTGAAACTAGGTCCCAGAGTGGAAAGATTTCAAAACTCCGTATATGCCGCTCCGTGGTTACTGCCTCTCCGCAATGTATCTGAGACGCTTGCGTCATCGCCCCGCCTCTTGTTAAAGCACGCATGCGCCGCACTCAGAAAATAATGACAACAACAATGTAGCTTGTTGTTTTGTAATCCAGTGCGACCCGAAGCAACAGTTCAACCTCATCGTCCGTCCATACTAATGTAGTACCAGCTCGCCCACTCGCCATGTTGTCTGTTTACAAAATTCCGCGCATGCCCACGGAAGTTTGGGCTTGATCCCGTCATTGCGTCACAGCGCCACCAACAGGTCTGGCATAGTTTCACAGCGTTTTCAGGCGTATTGACTACATTCATATGGACGCACACATTTACTGAGCTAACTCCGTGTTTACAGAAAAAGTTTCTGAAATTATAAGCGTTTTGTCTTCGTGTGGATATAGCCTTATTCTGGGCATAGCATCTCAAAGTCAGGCAGCTAGTCGGGTGGCATTATTATATTCCTCTGTAATCTTCAAGAATATATCCCACTTGTCCCTTTTGACATTAATTCTTGAATACATCGTCACTGCACACAACTGAGCGGGGAAAACATACTCCATGTAGAAACGGTCACCCGTGACCCAGTGCGCA